GCTGGCAGCCGAGTTAAAGTTTTAAGGGATCAGAGTCCTTGGAGTTCTGCCTGGGAGCAGCCCCAAGCCCCCAAGCCCCTGGCCGGGCCTGCCTTCTCCTCCCCAGGCAGCATGGCCACGCCTGGGCCGCTCCATCCTTACCCCGCCCGCCCCCCGTTGCAGACAGCCGCCTTTGGGCCATTCCTCGCCAAGGGTGAGGTCAGCCCTCAAGGAACAGATCCAGGGGAGACACGCGTGCTGATCTTAGCAGTGGGGTCAGAGCTGTTGGGCAGGAAATTCCGGGGCGGTGGGTGCCCTGAGTGTGTCCTAACACGGGCTGGTGGCTACAGGGACTTCAGGCAGGCGCACGCCCTGGGTCCTGCAGACTCCTCGTCCTGAAGGGGAGGCCTGGGGCAAGGGCACGGGTAATGCCCTCTACGACGCCGGGCCCAGGGGAGGGCTCCTCTTGCTCGGGTCTAAGGACGACCCTGAAGTGGGTTGGACATCTGACCCACGAGCGGCCTCACCAGTGACTGGCCGGTGACCTACGAGGCGGCCTGGCATGAAGACTTCTGCCCAGAGAGGAGACTGTACTTTCCAGAACCTGCCACCACCACATTTCTGTTCCCGTGTCCTTCTCGCACCCGCCACGCCCCGTCACCTCCCCTGAACCCACATGGGACTTTGTGGCTGCCTTGGTCAACAGAGAGCCATAGAAGCGACACTGAGTATCTTCTGAGACTGGGTCAGAAGACGTGACCTGGCCAGCCAGCCGGGCTCTCTCCCAGAGGCCACGCGCTCCGGCAGCCCGGCGGCCGTGAGCTGAGGAGGCCCGCACCCCTGAGAGACCACTGTTTTAAAACATGGTTTCACTATTATTCGCATATGGTGAGGCCAACACGTCAGAGGGTGATTGCCGTTGAAAAGACAGTTTGTCATAGTCGTAGTTCCCAAGAGAAGGGGGCACACCATGCCATGGGTGGGGGGGGCTCAAAAGGAAGAAGCAGGGCTGGCCAGGAAGCAGACTGAAGAAAGGAAGCTGTGCAGAGACTTCACTGTGGGTTCTGCGGAAAGGTACAGTACGAGTGAGACAGCCTAGGCCGGTTGGGGGCTGGGCTAGTGGGAATAAGGTCTGTGGGCTCTGGGATGTCCTTGGCCCGGAGGTGACGAGGGAAAGGGAAACGTGGCCTGTGTAACAGCTCCATAAGGGAGTGGTTGGGGGTGGGGGTGGGATGCGCTCTGGACTGGATGCTTCGCGTAGGAAAGGTCTGTTCACAGGTGAGCTACCCGCCATCTCTAGCAATGAGCTGCCTTGGGAGGCGCAGTCCGTCCCGAGTCATCAAGATCCCAAGATATCAAAACATCAGAGTACAGTAAATGAAAGGCATGCGTAATACAGCCGTCTGTGGGTTTTCCAATAGCCACGAAGTCTCAGCCAGTGTCGGCTATGATGTGAGAGAGTGAGCCTTCGGCTGGCCCCCAGCCCCGGCCCTCAAGCCGCCCAGGTAAGACAGGTGAGCTAGCTCTATCAAGTCCTGCCCACATCGCAGATCATACGCATATAAATATTTTTTAAGTCACCAAGCTTGGTAGTAAAATTTTACAACCTAACTTGAACAATGGCAATGAGCTGAGCTAAACAGACTCTCTGACTCTCTCTGTCTCTCTCTCTCTCTCTCTCCCAGAATTGAAAATGGGACTTGAGAGCAAGAGTAAGTTGGTAGCAGGAAGACAGGTGATTAGACCCAAAGAGAAGCAGGGATGGAAGACACAGCTGAGTCACATTCATGACAGTGACAAGAGGGCTGGCCTGGAGTGACTCTGATCCTGAATGACCCGGTTTCCTGAGGTCAGCAGTGGGACCCAGTCAACCCCAAGGGCTGTCAAGGCAGCAGGATTTCTCCAGAGTCTATGCTGGGTTCCTGTGAGGCTTTAGATGGGGCAGAGACCCCTGCCCTGGGGCCCTCACCCCTGTCCTTCCCTAAGAGTGTCTCCATTCTTTGCAGCCAAAGGAGCCTCTCCCCCTCAGGGACACACGGGACCCAGTCAGCTTGGCGTAAGGTAAACAGTCAGGATGGATGACTCCCACCTTCCCTCCCGCCAAGAGCCGCCAGGGACTTACAGAGAGAGACAATGTCAAGGAACCCTGTGGACGCTCTAGGTCTGGCCAAATCTATGTGACTCGTATCTTCATTTCTCGAAAGTTTGCTTTGAATATTTAAAAAATGATTGCAGGGGCGCCTGGGTGGCTTAGTCAGTTAAGTGTCCGACTTTCGCTTGGGTCATGATCTCGCGGTTCGTGGGTTCGAGCCCCACGTCGGGCTCTGTGCTGACTGCCAGCTCGGAGCCTGGAGCCTGTTTCAGTCTGTGACTCCCTCTCTCTCT